CAGTGAAAATAATCACAAAACACACATGGAAACAAGTCACTCAGAATGAGTTACTCAAACAGAATCAGACACACAGACTGAAGAACTGGAATTATTATAGCACATATAAGTTTTTAATATATTTAAGAAAGAGGATATTACACTATGAAAAGTTATGAGACAATAATATTTGCAAAAAAGAACTCCTAGATATGAGAAACAAATTAGAGAATAAAATTACTATCTCAATATTACATAGGTAGTATTAGCAGACTAAAAGAAGACAGACAGTAAAGAAGGCCAATATAAATGAAGGGACGTACTATAAAGTCATAGCTGGAAAGACTTTATATTAGAAATAAATCAATTTTCCCTATAATAATCAATAGTCAGTGAAATTATAATAAAAATGCCAGCAAGGTTTTTCCTTGAACGTGACCAAACTAATTAAAAACTATTTGGAGGAAAAAAGGTCTAAAACAGCAAATACATCCTGAAGAACGACAAATCAGAGGGCTGGCCATATCGGATAATATTGCCATAAAAGCTACAGTAATTAAGAGAGCATGATATTGGCACAGGGATGGCAAACTGATTCAAGAAACAGTATATAGACTGGAAATGCATGAAAATTTGATTTATGAGAGCCGGCAGTGCAATCTGGAGGGGAAAGGAAGAGCTAAATTTGCTTTCTTGACTCCATTCTTTTCCTCCAAACCATACTTCAATTGCCACTAGAATGAGCTTTCTCAAACACAGAACTGGTTGTGTTAATTTTCAACCAAATGTATCCAATAATGCTCTACCATCAACTGTAGTTTTCTCCCATGTGTATATTAACAGGTTACATAATTTGGGAGAAATGCTAGACTAAATAAAGTTAAATAGGAATTTTTTTACAAAACTTCTCAAAGATGTTAAAATGCTAGTAAGAAGTTTGAACCTCTAAATGTGGGAAAGCACATCTGGCTAATTTCCCCAATCTTGTCAGGCCAAAGCTTTTTTTTAAAAATAGCAACTTGATGAACTAGGGTTTCTTGGATCATGCACTGGGGATCAAAATAGTTATTTCAACTGACATAGTATACAGAGCAATGCAAGAGGTAGATTGGGTGCAGACTGGTGGCTTTTATACTGTAACGGTTTGGAACAGATAAGGGTACAGGGTCCTGGCTCCTCTACATTCTAGATGGTCACTTTGGTCAAGTTACTTACTTCTTCCTGATTTCAATTTTCATATCTGTATAGTGGGAATAACAAATTCTACATTTATAATGTTTTATGCATATATCATGATGCCTATCATACATAGGATTACTGAAATTAAATGAGCTGCTAATAACAAAATACTCCATTTTTTCCTGCTTCTCCCTACCCCTTAAAACTGGAGATGTAATTAGAATGATTTACTCATACAAGTCTAAGACTTAAGTTTTTCCTACTGCCTATCATGACTCACCACATTTACTATATACCTTGTCCTATTTTTAAAGACTATCTCAAAAGAAAACTTCTTTGGAGAAATTTCCTTAATCCAAACCCCTGAAATGAGAATCCACACTTTCCTTCACTTGGTATATATAGTATTTTATCACACCATTACAGTTTTCATTACATTGTATCACAAGTTATTAGCTTCCCATTTTTCATATTAGAATAAGTCAGCAGTGGGGGTAATGTTCAATACACACATTTCTGCATGAATTGGGAATTTTGAAAGTAACTCTAAAAACTAAAAGAGAAAACAATCTAAATAGCAAGTTGGATTCAGAGGAAGTAATGAAAGACAACAATAAGGATACTAAGTATTTAATACATGCCAAGGGAACACATTATATTTTTAAATTTGAAACAATTTTGAATTTTGGTCCCAACCTATTGAAAAAATAGGAGAAATTTATAAAAGAATCCAGTGTACCTATAATACTTTGTAAATAAAATCCAGACTTCTCTTGCAGATCTTAAAACAAATTAACTTATAATTTGACTCCTATAAGTTGTAATATAAAAATAAAATTAAAAGCAAACAAAAGTGAGGTGTTTAAGTGAATTTATTTGCAATTGATATCCTTAATAGCACAAACAGAAGAAAAGTACTTAGACCCAAATTCTCAATAAATATGAAAAATGATTTAATCTTACTGGCACCAAAGATCTTAGGGGAAATAAGTGTTAAATCAAGAAACACTATTAAAAAACATTAGTCAATGCTAAGAATGGTACTATATTAAGACAGAGTCTTACTACCAGTCAGTGAGAAAGTAAACTGGTATGTTTTTGGGAATGCAATTTACATGAAAAGCCTTAAAACAGCTAAATTAGGAGTCATTCTTAATGAATACTCTGCAATACATACAGATGTTTACTCTTACTCGTAATCGCTTAACTAGAAAAAAAGAACCCTAAATATACATAAATAAGAGATGACTAAGATTTATCTCTGTAAGACCATTTAAAAGGCTACACATGTTATTATTAATATTGGTAATTATTTAAGTTATAAGTTTCACAAGGACACAGTCCTTCTCTAGCTTGTTTTCTTCACTGTTTATTTCTAGGGCATAGTACAGAGGTGGCAAACACAAGGTCTGCAGGCTGAATCTGGCCCTCCAACTTGTTTTATCTGGCCCACCCTAGCAGAGCTCTCGCTTAACTGCTAAGGAGTAATTACATTTATACAGTCCTAAAATTACATTTGGCCCTTTGAAGGCAACCACGAGGTTGATGTGGCCCCCGGTTAAAATGAGTTTGACACCCCTGGCATAATGCCTAGTGTAAATTTTTTAAACTAAATTTTTTTTATTAAAACTTTATTTTTTTAAGAGCAATCTTAGGGTTGTGGCAAAAATTGAGGAGAAGGTAGAGATTTTCCCATTTACCCCATCCCCACATATACATAGCCTTCCCTTTATCAACATTTCTCATCAGAGTTGTACATTTGTTACAACTGATGAACGTACAATCATTATCACCCAAAGCCCATAGTTTACATTAGGGTTTACTCCTAGTGTTGTACATTGATTGTATGGGTTTGGACAAAGTATAATGACATATACCCATAATTAAAATATCATACAATATTTTCACTACCATAAAAAGTCCTCTGTGCTCCACCTATTTATCCATTCTTCCTCCATCTGAATCCCTGGAAAACAATGATCCTTTTACTGTCTGCATAGTTTTGCATTTTCTACGTAGTTGGAATCATACAGTATGTAGCCTTTTCAGTTTGGCTTTTCATTTAGTAATACGTATTTAGGGTTCCTCCATGTCTTTTCATAGCTTGACAGCTTATTTTTCTCTTTAGCACTAATATTTCATTGCCTGGATGTACTAATTGATTCATCTGTTCACCTGCTTAAGAACATCTTAATTGCTTCCAAGTTTTGGCAATGATGAGTAAGCTGCTATACATACTTGTGTGCAGGTTTTTACATGCACCTGCTTTCAACTCCTTTGGGTAAAGAAATACAGAACAGGGTAATTGTTGGATGGTTTGGTGTTTGGTTTTGTAAGACATTGCCAAACTAGCTACCTTCCGAAGTGCCTGAACCATCTTGTACTCCTATCATTAATAAATGAGAGTTGCTGTTGTTTCACATCCTCACCAGCATTTCTTGTTGTTAGTGTCCCAGATTTTGGCCATTCTAAGAGTAGTGCACATAAATCTTTAAATATTTGCTAAATCAATGAAAAAATAAGGTTCAGTGAAAAAATAAAAAGTGTAATGCTACTTCTATGAAAATCTGTATAGAAGAAAAACTGGAATGACATACCACCAAGTGGGAAAAAGAGGTCATGTACATTTGTTAAAAATGGCTTTATTGAGGTAAAATTTTCCATACCATAAAAGTCCACCCTTTTTATATGTAGAGTTCAATTACTTCATTTATACACTTGTGCAATTATCACTATAATCCAGTATCATGGCCAATTTTGTTTTCTCATTCCATCTTTTCTGTATGGTAAAGGAGGACTTACTTTTTTTAAAGTCCCCTTCACTGAAATGCAAGGACAAAAGCCCCTTTCACGCTCTCTTTACCAGAGCTGGCTCTTCTTCTCTCCCTTTGAGGCTGTCAGGCGTAATTAACTACTGTTTCTCTGAGCCTCTGTTTTCAGGACTGGAGAGGTTGATGGAAAGCATCCCTTGTGCAGGTGCTTTAAAATATATACAAACAGGGCTTACCAGACCTTAGCGCCCAGACCCTGAACCCAAAGATAACAGCAAAACAAACTGAAGTCTGCAATATCAGTCCGAAGCCTCCTATTTACAACTAATCGCCACGACTAACCTGTTACAGCCCCCTCCCCCTTTTCTGATCCAATAAAAACTCAAAGCCCCTACACTTCAGGGCCGGTGCATTTCTCTGCACCCAGCCCTTTCCTTTTTTTGGAAAAGTAAAAATAAAGCTTTGTTCTCTGCATTTTCATCTCTTTATGAATTCTTTCACATCCCGCATCACTGACCACCCTAACATGAAAGTTGGGCGGTACTGAACTATAAAATTATTTTTTAGCCTGATGATCTCAATCTATTTCTTTAACTTGACATATGCATCTTTTTAGGACAAAATGAATTTTAAAAGCAGCAGGAAAATCCTTTGCTATCGCTAGAAGTAAAACTTTCAGGCTTGAGCAGGCATGCTATGTTAAGATCATTATTCTTGGTCCTTCTGCAAATAAAAAGGTTGCACAGAATAATGAGTACAGTCCCATTTCCCAACGAAAATGTCGGTATTGAATGGAAGCAAACGTGAGCTGTTTTCTTGTGCTTAATCCTGCTAGCAGAGAGTATTGTGAGAAAGCTGAGGACGTCCTCCAACCAACCTGGGAAGCTGGCCGCTACACACCCTAGGTTGGAGCCACCGATTCTCTGTGGCGCCCAGAGAAGGGACCTTCGGAGTATTATTCACTTAGCTTTCTACAACAGAGAATCTCTGGGAAAAAGTAGACTGAGATAAGTTGGCACTTAAATATCCTTCACAGCCTCGGGTCCCAGCGCCCTGCCTGCAGTCTCCTACCTGCGGAGAAGCAGAGCAGGAACACGCGGTGCCTCAGGCGGGCCAAGCCTAGCAAAGTGGGAGCAAAGAACATTGCTTCATCGTCGGGGTGCGCGATCACCAGGAGGGTCCGACTTCCGTTTCCCAACAGGCCAGCCTGCACCTGACTCTTCATTCGTTCGGAGGAGTCCCAAACCCAGAACACGATCCTTGCCAAGGCCACCACAGCCAAGCACAGAACGCCTATCGCTTCCATGCCAGGTAAGTGGCACTGCGCATGCGCAATACGGAAAGGTGCTGCCCACCCTGACTCCGGCGGGAAAACTGCACTGTGCAGAAATTGCGTTCCGAATTAATGTTTCGCCCAGCTAGCCAGCTCTTACGGCTTGAGGCCTTAAATGTCGGGTTCCTGTGTGGTTCTACACTGACGCCTCCCAACAATTCTTTATCGATTTCTCTCTACTTTATGTAGCATTTAAGAGGACTGTGACTGCTCGGGTTGAAAGCTGAACCGAACCCCTTCCTGTCAAGTTTTCTAGCCCTGTCCTTACACAGTCCAGTCATTTCACTGGAAGTGAGACTTGAGGGCGCACTTAGTTGTCTCAAGGGCCACCGGCTCCCGAGGAGTGACTTTTAGATTAAGGACTGACATCATAGACAAATCGGCATCGGCCGCCTTTCAGTGACGTTTTAGTGCGAATTACAGCCGGAGCTCTGGGAAATATCTTGAGTAGGTCGACGTGCACCCCTTCGGCTCCCAGCACGTGAGAGCCCGCTTCCCTGCCCGAAGCCCGCGGCCGGAGGAGGCCGCCGCCGTCCCGCTGCGTCGCCCTGGGGTCGCAGAGCTAGAGGCTGGCTTGCGCCCCTCTTTCCCACGCTCCGGTGAAGGCCCCTAGCGCGGGAAGCCGGCTGGCTCGGGTGGACTCCCCAGCCGGTGCTTGATGGCAGTGCGTTGGTCCGGGTCGGGCAAGGTGCTACCCAGGCGTGTCTCCGGTTGAGAGGGCCGCCGCCGCCGCCAGGCCGATGCGCGATAAGGAACCAGGCCCTGGGCAACCCAGGAAGCTCGGTCGAGGTAGGAGACGCGCGACGCCAGCGGAGGGAGTTGGTTCTCCAACCTTCCGGAAGGAGGAGGGGCCGGCGCCAGAGCAGCCCTAGCCGGCCGCTGGGGCTGGCGTGGGGAGGGAGCGGGGTTGAGTCAAGATGGCGGCCAAGGTGGCGAAGCAGCAGCAGCAGCCGCGGTGGCGGCGGCGGTGACTGGAGTGATCGCCCAGCTCGCCGCGTTAAAGGAGGTACCGAGGTAGGGACCCGTGTCGGAGTTGCGTCCAGCTCCTCAGAACCAGGGGCGCGCCGGTTACCACACTCCTACAGCTCCGGGTGAGTAGGCCCCGGCCTCCGGGCCCCCGCTCGGTCGCGAGCTTCCGAGGACTCTCAGGGCACCGGCCGCAGGGACCGGTTCACTGCGTGGCGGTGGGGCGTCACGGGCCTGGCATGTTGGACGCACCCCAGCCGTCTGGTCTCCTCTTCTCGGCCGCCCAGGCCGAGCCGTGCGCGGCGGGGAGCTCCGGGGACGAGTGTAGGCTTAGGGAGTTTGGCGGAAGAATGGGCTGCGGCCGGGCCGGGGCCGGCGGAGAGGTGCGCTGGATGGAGGGGGCGTGCGCGGCGCGGAGGGCCCCCCCCCCCCCGAGGGAGACCGAGTGGGCCGGGGGATCCCGGGCGGGGCCAGCACAAGCTGCCCCGGGGCTCTGAGGCGGAGCTGGTGGCCGTCGAGAGTGTCGAAAGGATTAGGGAGGGTGACAGCGATGGACAAGTGACTGAAGATTGAACTAGTTCGACTTTCTAACCAAATCTCTCAGAAGTGTAATGGCGAAAGGGTGGAGATTGCAAAGATCGGAACTGTACCTTCTGCCTTTTGTTGTTGGTGTTTTAATATGCGTAGTCTGTGCATTCTCTTTTTGCGGGGGAAGAGGGATTTGAGAAACTAATAGAGAATTCGGTCTTAATGGAGAGGAAACTGAATTTGAATTCTTCGAATTAACTGGATTAGGAGCAGTCGTGTATTAACAGTGTGGATGGGAAAAAGTCATGTTTCTGAAACATCAGTGTCAGTTTTCTGTACTGATGTTGTGTGCCACAGTGCTGCTTCAGTAGGGTTAACCTTGGAGATAGTGTGGTATGGGTAATTCCAGTCTTTGGGATTAGTATATTCACCTGCATCAGATTTGCGTCACTAAACATATCCTAATAATATTGAAACTTACATTCCCTGTGTGCACACTGGTGAGGTAATGATGGGATGCAGAACATTGTGCAAAGAACAGGCCCTGGATTTTAAAATGCCAACAAATATTCATTCGTTCTTTCAACATACCTTGATCAATAGGTGTTGCTGAGGGGTCACATGTGATTGTCCCTTGGATAACTGAAGGGTTGGTGACATTTAATTTTTAATGGCTTTTTGAAAATGTTTTCATGTACCTTTTCATAAAGATATTTATTGGATGAACCAATTTGCCTGGGCTCAGGAGCAGACCAATTTTAGAAACTTATGTTTAAATAAGTAATGATTATAGAAGAAGTAACCACAAGTTCTTGGAAAAAGAAATATTGTCTTTATTTTCTTATTTTGTTAAAACCCAGTGGAAGTTTATTTGTTCATTTAATATTTACAGTTGCTTTCCCTTGCTTTTAGCATATCTGATAATGGAATCAAGGTTAAACATGCATATATAAAAATATGCACATACATATACATAAGGGTGTGATTATCTGCAAAACGAAAATATACTTTTTCTTTTTACAAAAGGCTTGCCATATGTTGAACTACTGCCCCACAGAAAATGTAAAACAGAGTCCTGATTCTTTCTTTAATGAACATTGTGGCATTTTGGAATATGATCAATCTTTCTGTGCTTCAGTTTCCTCACCTATGATAGTAAGAAAACATCTGCTGTCTTAGGGTTCCTAAGAAAGTTAATAATTATGAAATTACTTAAACAGATTAAAATGTTTGTACTCCTGTGAGGTAGTAACAGCTTCCTCTGCACTTGTAAAATACTTTATTTACACATCTCATGACATTTACACTTTCTACTTTGTGTTTAGGTTTTTACGGACATGTTTTATCTCCTCTTGAGGGCAGGATAGATCCTTCTCTAATGTTATCTTTAAGGCACTGTGTAGAATATTGACACTGCAAATATTTATTGAACAAGTAAACATTGTGCTCTAGGTAGAAAAATGTATTTCACATTACAACTTATCCAAATACACTTGTCTCTGCTGTGACATATATGTCGATGTGTAGCTGTGATAGTCTCCATGGCCTCTGAGGAATACATATTTTTAACTGAATGTCTTGTTGAATTTAATTATATATTAAAATTTAAGTCTTTGGCCTTCCCACTTAATTTTTTTAAAAAAGCACAAAATACTTGAAATTACCTTATTTTTTAAAAATTTAATTGTCCCTTTAAATTTAATTCTTTAAAAGTTTGTTCCAAGACTAGGCAAATTTAGATTAAGGTATTTAAAGCTTTTTAAAGGGTGAAATTTTCTTGCTGTTGTTATCTGCAGTTGAAAGCAAAGGCCTTTGAATAGACCAGGAATTGATATAGGTCAGTGATTTTCAATCTTTTTCATCTTATAGTACATATAAACCAATTACTAAAATTTGATGGCACACCAAAGAATACATTTTTCTCCAATCTGACAAAAATTATATATAGTTTTGATTCAGTCACAATGGACAGCTGTTGTTAGCTGTTGTTATTTTTTATTTGACAATCTAAAGGGAAAGAGGTCAGCCCTGGCTGGTGTAGCTCAGTGGATTGAGCACGGGCTGGGAACCAAAGTGTCCCAGGTTCGATTCCCAGCCAGGGTACATTCCTGGGTTGGAGGCCATAACCCCCAGCAACCGCACATTCATGTTTCTCTCTCTCTCTCTCTCTCTCTATCTCCCTCCCTTCCCTCTCTAAAAATAAAATATAAAAATAAAATCTTTAAAAAAAATAAAATAAAGGGAAAGAGGTCAGTGTCCCTGTTGTTTACACATTTTTTTGAAAAATTTTATGTATTTATCTTTAGAGGGGGGAGGGAGAGAGAAAGAGAGGGAGAGAAATATTGATGTGCGAGAGAAACATAGATCGCTTGCCTCTCACATGTCCCCAACTAGGGACCTGGCCCGTAACCCAGGTATGTGCCATGGTGGGAACCCACTGAGCCACACCAGTCAGGGCAGGTAGTGTGTGTTTTAAAAATTCTTGCAGCACACTGGTTAAAAAACCTCTGATATAGGTAAATTTCAAGCTGTTTGTTACTTGTTTTGTGTGTGTGTTTGTGTTTTGTTACTCAGTTTTAATTGTATTTTGTAATGTCTTAATTGCAGTTTCAAATCTTACTGATGCCTGGAAATGCTAGAAGTCTCCATATTTAGTTACTGCCAGCTGTTCTTTTACTTTCAGATTTGGATTTTACTAGAATATGGCACAAAGGATATTAAATGTTGATCACAATTTATTGTTTGTTGATTAGAGATTCATGTATAGTTCATTGCCTTGTGCAACCAATGTTAAGTGCCTTTTATGTTGAGTGCATGTTACTAAATGCTATAAAGGTGTTGTATAAAGTTGAACAGATTAATGTGTGTACAAATAACTGTAGATTGCCTGGTGTTTTGTACTTTTCAAGCTTGAGGATGCAAAAAAAAGTACATTTAGATATATGGTTAAGAAAACATTTTGTTTGTTTCTTTTTCTATCAGGACTTATTAGGAGTATTGGAAAGCTATGAAAAGCTTCTGGTATGTACCAGTAACTGTGTAGAGCATCTGTTTTTTATTTTGGTATTCTTGTGGTAGTGGTTTTCCTTGAATATTTTTACTGTTTTACTACCATTTTTTCTACCCCAGGAGCTAGTGTGGTCAAAATACTATATTGCTTGGATAGTCTTCAGATACAGCATAGTTTGTTTTTTTTTCTCCCGAGTCCTTTGCGTTTGAGGGTGAGACTATACAAACCTCTGTAAGAATTTCTGTGGAATTCCTCAGTTTAATTCTTCCTTGTGTGCTGCTAATATTTTTACTTAAAGGTGATCTAAAAAAATTAAATTGTTGAAACAAAATGCTAATTATGTATAGAACTGTAGAATGTAGCGTCATATAGATTATCCACAGAGGCTACAATCCTGATAAACCCACCCTAAGTTGAAAATATCGTAAGTTGAAAATGCACTGGGTAGACCTAACCTACCGAAGGACCATCATAGCCTAGCCTAGTTAAATATGCTGAGAACACATACATTAGCTTACAGTTGCGTTGATGTAGTTTCATCTCACCAGTAATTGCTTTCCTTTTCTTGCCAGAAACAAGAGATACAGATGGGCCTAT